TGTTGCCTCTGACGGTATTCGAACCCGAACATGCTGGGAGCTAAGAACTAACAGCGAGCATCTCTACACGTTCAGCTACAGCCAGACATGCAAATGTGCTTTCAAATGCTCAACTTCAATCACGTGATTCAGTGATCGGATAACAAACAATAAGCTAGCGCAGAGACACCAGTTGGTCCGCTACAGCATGACAGAGGAACACTTTTGTAAGTACTCCAATTTACCACAAATAGACTACATGATCCAACGATTTTTGCAGGGTTGTTGAGTGTGTTATGGGGCTTGTGTGCATATATCACATTCTCATTTTTTATTGTTTTTCGGAGTACTTGGTTATTTGTAAGTCCTGGTATGTATGTCACCCCAATGTATTTTTTGTTAGTGTTGTTTGGCTGTACTTCGGTGTTTTGGCTAGGTTGGCGAATTTGGTTTATTGTTGTTTGTAATAATCTTTCTATTAACGCGTGCGAGTAACTGTTTTTGTACAACATGTTTTTTATTTTCTTGTTGTTTTCCTCTGTAAATTCTTCGTCGCTGAGCGGATGGACTAATAAGACTGGCAGCGGTGTTTATTTTTTGTTTCCATGGGTGATTGGAATGAAAATTTATCAATCTCCCCGATGCAGTGGATTTTGCATACCAGTTCAGCAGAATTCGGTTTCCCTTTTTATGCACTTCTACATCTAGGAAGGCAATTTTCTTGTTTTTTTCCTTTTCGACTGCAAATTGTATTTTTGTATGTTGTGCATTTAATATTTTTAGTATGTCTTCCGCGTCTTTTGCTTTAATTATTGCAAACATATCGTCTACATATTTATTTATGTATTTTATATGTATGTCGCGTTGTTTAAGTTCAGCTATGCTGTCGTCCAATGTTTTGTCAAGTACGATGTCCACTATGGTAGGGGATAATGGGTTACCCATTGGCATGCCATCAATTTGTTGATAAAGGGTGGTATTACATTTGAAGTAATTGTTATCCCGTAAGCAAAACTCGAGTATGGTATGAAATTCTTTTCGTGTAATGTTTGTAAAATTCTCTAATTTTTTCCAATTCTTCATAATTGTCTGTATGGCTAAATGTATCGGGATATTCGTGAATACTGATATGACATCGAATGATATTAAAATTTCATCTTCTTCAATAGTAATATTTTTTAGATTTTCCTTCAGTTGATAAGAATTCCTTATATTATATTCGTCAGAGATTATGTTTTTTAAAATGTTGCCAGTAAACTTCGATAATTTGTAGCAGGGAACATTTGTAGACGGGGATATTGGTCGGAGAGGTGTACCGGTTTTATGAATTTTGGGTAGTCCGTATAATCTAGGAGCATTAGCTGCGGTGCATGTCAAGTGTAATTTTTNGAGAGGTGTACCGGTTTTATGAATTTTCGGTAGTCCGTATAATCTAGGAGCATTAGCTGCTGTGCATGTCAAGTGGAATTTTTGTTTTACGTCAATTTTTTTCTGCTTGAATAAGTCGTTTACTATATTGTTGTTTTTCCTCAATAATTGTTGGGTAGGATCACTTCTTATGGTTTTGTATGTTGTTTTGTCATTCAGTTATTCCCTAATTCTATCTTCGTAATCCTTTTTGTAGATCATTACCGTTTTATTTCCTTTACCTGCTTGTGTTATTATTATTTCTTCCTTGTGTTGACCTATACATTTTCTGGTGTCTGCACACGTTTTTAATATAAATTTTTCTTTCGTATTGTTACTTAATCTGTCATAGAATGTATTGATTCTTGCCTTGCTCTAAGTCGGCAATTATGGGAATCGGGGAAAATGTTTTCTTAGACACCGGCAATGCGAATTTTCCTCCAAGTGACAGTAGCCAACGGGAATACTTAGGTATGGGAATATCTGTTTTATTTATAAACCAATCCTCATTAAATCTTATGCCAAATTTTGTTATATTTTTTGATATTTGTTCATCTAATTTTTTCTTATGTAGTTTCTGCGTGTCTATTGAAACTTTTTAAGAAAATTGTTTCTGATTTTCTATTACTTTCTTGTATTCTACTTCCATAAGTCTGCTTTTCAGTAAATTTTCCCCATGTTTAATGTTGGTTGTGACTATTTTTATATTAATATTTGTTTCTTTAATTTCTAAATTGAGGATTTTGAGCAGAGAGCATTTTTCTAGTTTAATAAGTTCACGTCGGGTTGGGTCTAGTTTGAAGCAATGTGAGAACTTTCTACATTTACCCTGTAAGTGGGGCGGAATGATACCGTAGTCCTTACATCTTAGTAGGAACTTTAATATAATATTTTGTTTTGTCACACCGTGCAGTAAATAAAAAAATCGTTAAGGGCCGTTAACTTATCTATTTTAAAGTATAGTTTAATCATTAGTTACGCAGAATTTTCTGTAGTTAAGTTTAACTAATGATTTAATTATAATTTAAAATAGATATTTTAGCAGCCCCTAATGTGCTTTTGATATTATAGAAATTTATGTGCGCTATGTGTTTTCTGCCATCTGCTGTAATTGTGTACTTAGGCTGTGTGCGAGTTGACCTAAATTTTAGTACCTAAACTAATATTCCACTGGAAATTTCCAGCACTGCTACAATTTAGGAAAACAGCTGCTAAAACTGTGCGAGTTCATTTGACAACCTACAGTGAGCCACACTCAAAATTGGACACTTCATATATAGGACCTTTTAACTTAAATAAGAAAATAAATATTTCCTATGTTTCAATTTGTTTTTATTTATTTAAGAGTACTGGCATGTAGGAAGTACAATTATAAGAATTAACTGCACCGAAAACAAAAACCATAAAAAGAATTCAATTTTGTATGAAATTATCGCCATATATGCTGCTCACACTCAAAATGGGACACTCAGTTTATAATTCCCAAAAGCAACAAACACGTAATCACTAATATTTTTTCGATTTTCCTTTGAGCCTTATTACCTCGTGCAAGCGTCGTGGCATACTTTCAATGAGTTTTCGGCAATAACTGGGCTCAATTTTTTCCCATTTCTCCAATACTTCTTGTTTTAACTCTAACTTACTGCTCACGCATCTTGTAGCAAGTCTTATTTTGAGTTCTCCCCACAAATGTTCAATGGGGTTCATGTCGGGAAACTGAGCAGGCGTAGCCAGAACCTTTGGACAGTTGTATAGTAACCAATTCCGAGCATTCCACGATGTATGCTTAGGGTAATTGTCTTGGTAAAATATAAAGTTTCCACGAATACCAAGTTTTTCTGCACTGCTGGAAACATTTTGTTTAAAAAAGTCAATGTACCCTTTACCATCTAAAGTCCCATCGATAATGTGTACTTTCCCGACGCCAGCCCCCGACATGCAACCCCATATCATTATTGAGCCGCCACCGTACTTCACCGTCTTTTTGTCCTCCAATTCTCTTCCAGGCATTCTCCACACAAAACGCTTGCCGTCTGATCCAAAAATATTGATTTTGGTTTCATCCGTAAATAAAACCTAGAATTCAGATAAATTCCTGGTGATATTTTGAATGCAATATTGTTTTTTTCCAATTAATACCTTAAACCAAAATTCTATATTGGTACGTTTTGGCAAACTCCAACCTAGCCTTTTGGTTTTTTTTTCGAAATAAGTGGCTTACGACGAGGCACCCGCGCACAAAATTTGTTTTTCTTAAGGAGTCGGCGAATCGTTTCTGCACAAACTTCTACATTTTTTTCCTCTTTTAATTGTTTTTTCAAGTCTACAGCAGATAACTGGGATTTTGTTTTGTTAAACGGAGTACAAATCTACAATTTCCGGTTATCGATTTTCGCTTTTTTATCACACACGTTGCCTCTTTCTTTATACCTTTTAATAATATTATGCACTGTAGACTTTTTTTGCCAACAATTTCACTGATTTCGCGAATGGACTTCTGGGCTTTGTAGTTTTTTATAATAATTTCCCGTTATTCAATTGTTGTTTGACGCATTTTCGAAAAATGATGTTAGTTCGACAACAGTCACTGAAACACTACTGGAAATAAACAATTTGCGATTTGGTCTCAATATAGAACGGTACCCAGTTGACGAATTCTAACTGTCCCATTTTGAGTGTGAGCAGCATATATGGCATTAATTGCATACAAATTTGGTTTTGGGTTATTGTTTTTGTTTTCAATGAAGTTAATTCTTACAAATGTACTTCTAACATACTAGTGTACATAAATAAATAGAAACGAATTGAAATCAATTATTATCTATTTTCTTATTTAAGTTAAAAGGTTCTATCTATGAAGTGTCCAATTTTGAATGTGACTCACTGTAAATTGTTTGTTTTGGAATTTGAATTTATTTGCTTTTAATAAATATATCTATAAAATGAATAATTTTGTGGTAGCTTTGGGACTATTTAACAATATAATAAATTTGCAACAGAAAAAGGAGAATGCTCCATCCTGGCATCTATAAAAGAATCCGTTTGCTCTTCTGACCCTGCGAAATAATATACATCCATCGAATTACACATATACTTATCTGAATGCAAAAATCAAATAAATTTATACTTACATCATTCTGAATATTTTCTTTTTTGTGCCATAGCAATGATACAAATTATTTAAAACATCAAAAAATCGTTTTTCACTTAATCGCTCGCTGAAATATATTTGACTGTTCAATTTAGGTTGAAAAGTATGCTCGCAGAAAATCTAAATTGTTCCTATTCACTGCGTTACCGACACTTTCCAGTGATTTAGGATTTAGGACAACCTTAAGAAGTAAACGTTTTGGCTGTTCGCCAAACCGGTCTATTGTTTTATCAATAATCTCAGATTGGTTTTCTGATACAAACTTTCGATGTACGCTTAGAACACACAAACCTAAAGACAAAGTAATAAACAATTGAGCTATAATTTCAGGGTTTGAAATTACTTGACTATTTCCAATGCATTCGCAGTTGTTTAACTATGACTAACACTAATAAAACAGCAAAAGCAGACAGCAGAAGCGAAAAAGAAAAATTAAATAATTTGTTTTAGCTTATAGAGCTGTTTGTTTTTGCTTACACAGTCAGCCGAAGCAACCATTAGAAAAATTTGCTGTTGCTGCAAGCAGTAAGTTTGGTGTATTCTGATTTTTGCTTTTGTTTTTTCTTCTTTCTGCGTTATCCTCGCAGTCGAAAGAAACTGTTTAAGCAAAATTTTAAAATTTAGCTGCGCATTACACCAGATGTCGCTACCCTGCAGCAATAAGGCGGCCAATTTTCCGTTAAGGACTAGTACTTCACTGGTTAAAATTTGACTGGTCAGACATTTAGATGCGTGGCTGTAGCTTAGTGCGCAAAGATGCTTGCCACTATTTGTTAGCTTTCAGGAGGGTCCGGGTTCAAATGCCGTCAGAAGCAACATGGTTATAAAATGATAACATTTATTTTTTTTTGCTTCCGAATTATGAAAAAGCATCTGCGAAGTGCAGAACGCAATCTTACTCCAACGAAAAAAATCTCCAAAATTGGACTAGTCCAGGACCATCTTACGGTCAGTGTTGATTGGACTGGTCCTTTTCCAATGACACGCCAATGCTAAAAATGGCAGTTGAAACCATTGGCAGGGGAATTATGAGGGACTAGCGCTGGTAACAATAGAGACTATCTGAGGGCTAACCTAGGGTGAGTCTGAATTGCTGCAGGGTATGTACATATATACAAACATACGTGCATATGTAAGCATATGTGTATGAAATTACTCGCGAGCATTAGCGCACACAAGGGGTGGGTTTTGAGGTTCAAACCCCCCCTAAAGCTAATAACCTCAAATACAAACTGTATCTTAAAGCTAAGAATCCCGCTCTCAAGGAAATTATAAGAAATATTTATTATTATTTCTGTTGCCTGAAAAAGCGCTTTGCTTTTGCTGTAAATTTCTATGAGGAAATAAATATACGAGCATTTTTTTCTTGAGAGCTGCAAACTGATTTAAGAAATTTTGGTAGAAGAAAATTTCTTTTCCATTTCTCGTCCGTCGTTTTATACGAATTTTTCGTTTTTCTTGAGAGTTCAGTTAATTTTTTCGGTATTCGAAATATTAAAAAAATTTGGCAATCGTGAAAACTCACCATCTCTATCGAAAACCAGAAACCAGAAATCGAAAAAATGAACATAAAAGTGCAAAAATTTATGGAATCAATAAATTTATTTTTACTGACTCTTTTAAAATTTTTTTTAGGAACTTTTAAAAGTTGAGCGCATCTTGAGTTCATAGAACTTTTTATTAAAAAAGTAGTTTTTAAGGAAAGAACACAACACATGATCCAATCATCGGATCTCTAAACCAAATTACGGATTAAAGAAAGGATTATTGAAATCGGTTCACGTGGTCAAAAGTTATGTATTCCGGCGTATTGATAACCTCCTTTTTTTGAAGTCGGTTAAAAGTGTTTGAGTTCCGTTAATCTAATGTAAATAAAGTGCAGTTTATGGATTTTAAAACGTTTATTTATTTATTACATACTGTACATAAAACTTGCATGAATGTATTTTAAAGAGCGTATTATCTGAAGCAAATTTTCAGTATTTTCCGGTGATATATATTCAGAAATATAAACCCCCCCCTAAAATATATTCCTGGGTGCGCCCCTGCTCGCGAGAATAACGAAGCGGGAGATAAGCAAGACTAAAACTTCCCTTAATTTACTTCTTGCAGCAACAGCAAATTTGTCTAAACTGTTTCCTTCGGCTGACTGTGTAAGCAAAAAAATTGCTCTATAAGCTAAAACAAATTATTTCATTTTTCTTTTTCGCTTCTGCTGTCTGCTATTGCTGATTTATTAGTGTAAAAGCCTGATTATGGCAACCTAACTTAACTTAACTGAACGTAGAGCTTAGAGAATCAAAAGGAAACAGATTTCGACGTGGCATTAAGTTACGTTAAGTTTCGGCTGTTCAATTATAAGCAACACCCATTTAACGGAATTTTTAAGAGAGAGCCGTAAGTTACGTTAAGTTGCCATAATCAGACCATTAGTCGTAGCTAAGCAATTGCAAATGCATTGGAAATGATCAAGAGCTGCTTGCTTTAAAAAGCAAAAAAGTGATGCTTTTGCTATTTTGCGGTCAGCAATTCAAACCCTGTATAATTTTATTTATTAGTTTACCGTTCAACCCGTGTTCGCCCATTGTCGAGTGCAGCCTTTACCTTTCTTAAATGGAAGTGCTTTGAAGTTGGCGAGAATAACTAAGCTTGAAAGTTAGGTGGGGCCGAAATTATAGAGCTAGCATTTTCTGGTACTATTTTTGAAAATACAGGCAAAAAATTGCCTCCACCTGGCTACGCCCATGTTTACGGGCCTTAACGCGTTGCCACGGCAAGTACCGCAGATTATGGAACAGTGCGCTGTATGAACTTTACAGCGTTCGAATGACCGCAGGCGCTTCAGCCCGGAAAGCATTCAACTCGAATCCCGACTTGGCTTCACTTGGCATTTCCCATTGGGGTCAGTTGGCACAAAAGATAAACACGCCAGCCGTTATTTATTGAGCAGTATCAAAATCACTTAGACGGTTACAGCGCCAAACTAGAAAAATTTACATAATATGTAAATGAAAAACCACCTTAATACTCTCATTTTTATCCCTGGCGTCCTGCCATTGTTATGAAACAATTGTTTTATGATTTATTTATTAATTTTTTTTTTGTTTTTTAGATATGCTGGTGCGTAAGGTTTTTTATGCATCACAAAATAAGGGAATGTTCCTCGAGTTTTATTCCAAAGTACATAATTTAATAGACCGGTTTATTACAAATCGAAAAGGTGCCAAGAAAGTTGTAACCCTAATACTTATACACATTCATATTTACATAAGTATATTCAGGGGCTCTATTCTGTAACTGTGAGTTTTCAAGTGTACACTGAAAATTGTGTGCACTCTTCATTTTGCGATTCAGAAAGAGTGAAAATGAGTTTTAGCTGTCAAAATTGTGTACACTTCCTCATTTTGCGATTCAGCATGTGTGAGAATGAGTTTTAACTGTCAAAATTGTGTACACTTCTCTTCCGAAAAACTCACTGAATTTTAGTCGGTGAGTTTTTGGTTGTGAGTTATGCACTCGGTGTACACTACATTTTCTCACAGTTACAGAATAGAGCCCCTGCTCTCGTTATAATTTACGCTTTAGCTTGTCGGCACTAGTAAAGTTTATCAGATGTTTTCGAACTCGAGATTTTATGGATCGTAGAACGCAGTAATTTGGCTCTGTAAAGCTAGTAGTAGTATTGGTCATATGGCGAAAAGTTTATGGTTACATGTTATTTATACATGCAGTCAAATACAACATTGTATTCGCACAGGGTATAATAAACAAATATACCGGCGTTAATTGATAATCGTTTGAAAGTTATCTGACTAAAAACACGTGTTGCAATTTATTTACATACATATTTACAGTCAACGTCAAAAATATGCACAGCTTGACGCTTTGACGATTTTATTTATTTATATATTCCATGCAAAAATTTTCTTATTTTTTATAAATATTTAGTTCATTCAACGGGGAAAACCAGAACAATCAATTTTTTTAATTTTACACAGAACTCGGAAAAATGCAAGAAATTATCATCGAAATTTTAATTTTTTCAATTCGATTTCTTTGAAAAATTTACAATTCTCTAAAAATTATAATCGATTTTTGAGAATTTTTGTGCAGAGGGTAAGGGCGTAGCCAGGTAGGGGCGGGGGAGAGCTCGAAAACGTGGAAACGTGGAATTTTTTATCAACCATAAATTGGGAACCATAAGTCACATGAACTTGAAATTTGGTATTAAGACATAGGTATGGGAGGTGTTCAGAGTAAAGTATATATAAATGAGTTTGTAAAAGGGGGATATACATATATGTATTCATCTATTAGATAACTCGGATATTTAAAACTGTGTGTGTTTTTTTTAAACCTTACCGTTTCTAGATTATTTTGAAATGGGAAGATTAAATCGTTTTTTAATCCCGCGATGCTGTTAAACGAAAAAGGTTCATTCATAATGAATAAAACTCCTTCCGAATTAAGCATTATACCAGAAAAGTGCAGATATACTAAAACAGCTAATCGAATAGGCAGCTAAACAGAATGTACCGTACTAGAATAATTTAGAAATTTGATCGTTACCTTAAGCTACCTAATATTAATAATGGAACAAGATTTGTAGTACAAGTGATGATCAATATATATTAGCTAAAGCACGATAAAGCTAAAAGTATGGCTCATAAGGATGCCTTAATGTAAACAAAGAAAATAGTTTGTCTCCTTTAAATTATGCTGAACTGAATATTTGTATTACTGCTTTATATTTTTATTTGTTTACCCCAAACGACGTCGGGGGCTCTGCTAGTATTTGATATTTATGTTAATTATTTACCTATACATAATATATACTAAGCCAAACCCAGAAAAAATTAAAATAATACAAAGTTTGCAGTTACCAAAGAATTTAAAAGAAATAAAATATTCTCTTGGGTTGACTGGATATTACCGGAACTTCATTTATTTATTTATTTTTTGAATTATTCTTTTTGGGTATTAGATGAAAAAATATTAATTTTAATTTTTTTGAGTCTCCAAAGAGGAATCTGAACTTTGACCCCTGTGCGACACGCCTAAACCGTCTACGATCGGGACCAAAATTTTTGTGTGATATCTTTGACTATATTAGCATCGATGTGGGGGTTGACGTTTAGGAAATCTGATGTAATAATGTACTTAATACATTTAAGGACCACCCTAATATACATATGTGTGAATGTAAAGGATTTTCAGATCTTTGGACAGTGCGGTTAACGAATTTTTAAATATATACTCAAAAATGATATTTTCAACGGATCTTGACCGAAAATTAGCGTTTTTGGTAACTGGGCGTGGCCCGCCCACTTATGTCAAATATTTGTATCTGGAAAACCACTTCACCAATCTGTACCAGTTTTGATATACACATTGCGCCTGACCTTCTTAAGTACTTATGTCAAATATTTGTATCTGGAAAACCACTTCACCAATCTCTACCAGTTTTGATATACACATTGCGCCTGACCTTCTTAAGTACTTCTTGAAAATTTTTGAAATCGGGCAAAACCCACGCCCTCTAGAACTTTCGCTAACATTCAAAAAATGATTGTTTTACTTTAACTCTTTAAGCATTTGAGAAAAATTAGTCACGCAATTATTTAATGTTTCATCAATAGATTTCAAACAATTTGATGCGTAATTTTTTGTATGCGTTCAATTTAAAAATTTACGTTTTTTAGCGTTGAATCGCACGGTTCC